TGATGATTTGATGGAATATAAGTCAAGGTGGAGATTTGTTGTAGGTATCTTGCATTCTTGTCTTAGTAGGAAACTAGTTTGAAATTTATTCTCCTTAGGAAATTGGAAAAGTGGATGTTTTGGAATTCCACTTTAAGTAAATGACCAATTAGAAACTGTATTGTATTAGGAGACAATTTTTTTGGGTCTATAAATAGATTATAGACCACTCAATTTCATTTTGAGGTTTTTGGGGGATTTTGACCCCCCAGTTGTGANAAGGATTGGTTTGACTTCGGCTCATGTTTCGCGTTGATACCATCAGTCACTAGAACATTAGCTTTATTTGTAACAGGAACAGTCATTCTCACAGACGGCGCCAAACTGATGGCGTATTTCAACGTGATGCAAATTTGTGATGACGANCAATTTCATTTTGAGGTTTTTGGGGGATTTTGACCCCCCAGTTGTGAGCATACATGTTTGGTTATATTTTTTGAATTAGAGAATTTTGTATAATCTCTTTTTGTTGATAGTGAAATTTTGCTGCTTTACTTTGCCCGTGGAATTGACTTTTATGNTAATTTCATTTTGAGGTTTTTGGGGGATTTTGACCCCCCAGTTGTGAGCATACATGTTTGGTTATATTTTCTGAATTAGAGAATTTTGTATAATCTATTTTTGTTGATAGTGAAATTTTGCTGCTTTACTTTGCCCGTGGAATTGACTTTTATGCCGATCCACTTAAATTTGTGTTTAATATTTTTTATATTTTTTTGAATTATTTATTCATAACAGCTAGCATGAAATAGATAAGTAAAACCATAGAGGCCATGGAGCTCATTGACAAAGTATGTTGTGGGATTTTCTGATTATGAGAGGAAAAAATAATATGACATGGAGGCTATAAAAATATTTTAGTCCCCTCTATGATAGTGAATAAAATACAAAANATCTCTAGAGTCCCCTCCTTCCTTGGAGGCGTTACATAGTATTTATAGGGCTGTTCCCTATTCAGTGGGATTTTAGCCGAGATTATTGTCCTTATTTCGTGAGGTTCTCCTTAATTATAGGAGAAGATCTTGGTTGATTGAGATTAGGTGCCTTGATTATTGCTTCCTAACGCTTTTAGGAACCTCTCGTGATCTTCTAGCTGTTGTCTTGGTTGTTATTGCCCTTGCTTATCTTGAAGGGACCTCCAGCTCTACTCTTCCGAGTTCTGTTCGTCTAGTCTAACTTANCTCGTGATCTTCTAGCTGTTGTCTTGGTTGTTATTGCCCTTGCTTATCTTGAAGGGACCTCCAGCTCTACTCTTCCGAGTTCTATTCGTCTAGTCTGACTTACTGGACTGAACTGACGTTTGGGATTTATTTTGAGGTATCATCAGGACTCTTAATGGATTTATTTAGTTTAAGGGTTTGATTCACTCAAATTCCAGTCATAATGGCACTTAAGTCTAGCTACATTTGTACTGTTACTTATGACCCTATTTGTAATAGCATGCGGCGGAGTCAAGAATTTAGTTTAGCAAAAAATCATATAAAAAGAAGTTAAAAATTATAAAATAATCCTATATTTTAGCATATAATAATCTTACTTTTGATTCAATATTTAAAAAGGCTCGCAATTTTTTTAAAAAGTATCACAAAATGAGTTTTAATATGTCCAATATATATTCAAACATGTCCAAAACGTGTCTATAACATGCTCAATCATTTTATGTTAGCTTATATGAAAATATTAGTTTGGGCACAATAAAATTATTTTAAAAAACATTTAAAAAAGTGATATATATATGTGTGTGTGTATAAATTCCAATATTTGAGGATGGTCCTAGGCCCCCCTGGCTCGAATGTCACTCTGTCACCGGTAACACCCTATCACGATTATCTGAAATGAAAATGTTAACCAGAAGGGTGTCAAGAGAATAGTGAGCCCAGTGATAAAATCTAATATATATGTCTGAAATTCATACTCGCTTAAAAACTTAAGTATATATGTTCTCTTTCTATCTAATGTTTGATTCTGACACATGAAACATCCAACACAACATAGTTTAAAATAACACAAGAGATACACCTGAGTTTATATCAATCTACAAGCAGTGTGACAATCATTTTTTTCTTTGAGTGTTTCTGTCATTGATTAATGGATTGGGAAATTATACTTTGACGTCCTTAACTATGACCTTTTTTTTTATATTGTCTTCTCAGTTATCATATCTTTTATAGTACACACACAACTATGTGATTAGTTTCACCTCGCCAAAATTATTAACATCCGTTCCTAATTTAACAATGATTTATTTTATTTTGCACACTCAACTATTTTATTTTGCACACTCAACAATGTGTGCGATGGTGGGTATCTTGTATTGCTAGTGTAATGGATGCTTGTGATATTTGTATTATCTCACGAGATTTGTGATGAAGTCAACTAGTTTATTCACTTTTGTTTTGATGATTTGATGGAATATAAGTCAAGGTGGAGATTTGTTGTAGGTATCTTGCATTCTTGTCTTAGTAGGAAACTAGTTTGAAATTTATTCTCCTTAGGAAATTGGAAAAGTGGATGTTTTGGAATTCCACTTTAAGTAAATGACCAATTAGAAACTGTATTGTATTAGGAGACAATTTTTTTGGGTCTATAAATAGATTATAGACCACTTAATTTCATTTTGAGGTTTTTGGGGGATTTTGACCCCCCAGTTGTGAGCATACATGTTTGGTTATATTTTCTGAATTAGAGAATTTTGTATAATCTATTTTTGTTGATAGTGAAATTTTGCTGCTTTACTTTGCCCGTGGAATTGACTTTTATGCCGATCCACTTAAATTTGTGTTTAATATTTTTTATATTTTTTTGAATTATTTATTCATAACAGCTAGCATGAAATAGATAAGTAAAACCATAGAGGCCATGGAGCTCATTGACAAAGTATGTTGTGGGATTTTCTGATTATGAGAGGAAAAAATAATATGACATGGAGGCTATAAAAATATTTTAGTCCCCTCTATGATAGTGAATAAAATACAAAAAACATTAATTATGAAATTAGATAATCATATATAGGACTCTCAATAAATTTATATAGTTTAAGGTTATAATTCACTCAAGTTCCAGTTATAGTGGCACTTAGTGTAGGAATTTTATAAAATATAGTACCTAGAGAAACGACCACAATTATCTCTTTCCACAAAGATATATCAATTAATGTGAGAATCTTTTTAGTCACCATAACCCAATTCAAACCTGATGATTAGTTTTAATTAATTTTCAATTAATTCACTCATTAATCTTCAATTTATGGCTAATGTGGAGCTGGGATGCCTTCTATGTAATTAAACAAGAACCAAAAAGACATGCTCATCTTTCTTTGAAATACAAGGTAAATGGGCAATTATAGTTTTTGATGCAAGTCAAACTTGGAAGGGCAAAACACTAAGAACAGCCCTCTAAAAATTCTGCAAGATTAGAGCAATTCCTCCTTTTTGTATCACTTGGCTAAGCCAAGTATTGTTTTTCNTGCCGATCCACTTAAATTTGTGTTTAATATTTTTTTATATTTTTTTGAATTATTTATTCATAACAGCTAACATGAAATAGATAAGTAAAACCATAGAGGCCATGGAGCTCATTGACAAAGTATGTTGTGGGATTTTCTGATTATGAGAGGAAAAAATAATATGACATGGAGGCTATAAAAATATTTTAGTCCCCTCTATGATAGTGAATAAAATACAAAAAACATTAATTATGAAATTAGATAATCATATATAGGACTCTCAATAAATTTATATAGTTTAAGGTTATAATTCACTCAAGTTCCAGTTATAGTGGCACTTAGTGTAGGAATTTTATAAAATATAGTACCTAGAGAAACGACCACAATTATCTCTTTCCACAAAGATATATCAATTAATGTGAGAATCTTTTTAGTCACCATAACCCAATTCAAACCTGATGATTAGTTTTAATTAATTTTCAATTAATTCACTCATTAATCTTCAATTTATGGCTAATGTGGAGCTGGGATGCCTTCTATGTAATTAAACAAGAACCAAAAAGACATGCTCATCTTTCTTTGAAATACAAGGTAAATGGGCAATTATAGTTTTTGATGCAAGTCAAACTTGGAAGGGCAAAACACTAAGAACAGCCCTCTAAAAATTCTGCAAGATTAGAGCAATTCCTCCATTTTGTATCACTTGGCTAAGCCAAGTATTGTTTTTCCAGATAGTTTATTTATTTTTTCTGTAAGTACATGACCCCTTGTAAATTGTTACCCTTTGATGAATAGATTTTACTTTGAACTTTCCAGAAAAATAAAATAAAAAAATTTTCAATTATATTTTACCTTATTTTCCAAATGTAACCACCCTTCTATCTTTTTAATTGCTTACCAATTCTTTTTAAAAATATGTTTATATCACACTATAATTTATTATAAATTTTTTTCTAACATCCGGTGAAGGGGGTGAAAAAAACAAGAATTGATTGAATATAAATTATAAATCCTATACATTTCAAGGTTTGTCACTAATACAATCATAATGCAATCAGATAGGATAATGTTGGCCAAGCACATGAACTTTCCTTCTAGAGAGGCATCACAATTTATGTACTCTGGCAAGCAAGTAAATTTTTAGGGTTTGATTATGGTACTAAAAACAAATTTTTGATATCATATTTTTATTTTTTTATCTAATAGATATGTGACAAGTGTAAAATTTTTTTATTTTATTATTTTTTGAATCAATGATTAAAGAGTATCAAATCATATCCAATTTTTTTAATATAATAACGTGAGAAAATAAGGGATTCAATCGATATGGCACATACCGTCACGAACAGTATGTATAATAAAGTCCAAATTTGACAAGAGAGAGAGGATATGACTTGTGAGCATCACTCACAGCTCGGCTATATAAACACCATAGGGCCCAAGCATTTCCTACCACCACCTGCCTCTATTTAATTTCTCCTTCTGCATTATTGTATGAAAATTGTTGGGTTTAGTAATGGGAAAGTTGGTAGCCCAGACTGAGATCAAGTCTGATGGAGATGTGTTCCATGAGATCTTAAGGTACAGACCACACCATATAACCAATATGAGCCCAAGTATCATCCAGGGTGTTTCTATACATGAAGGTGAATGGGGAACTGTGGGCTCTATCATGTTCTGGAACTACACCCATGGTAAGACACCACACTTTCTGGATAAGTTATTATTGCTTTAAACTATTTATGAAGGATAGATACTTTGATTGCGGTGAAGTATTCGTATCTCAGACTTATTAGGTATCAATACTTGTCAAATACTTGCAAATACATATTGTATATTTTTCAAACATATCAAATAATTGGTAAAATATTTATCATTGTTAGATATTTGTCATGTACATCTCGAATATGCGTATTTCAATAGTAGATACATTCCCCTCATACTTGGCAATGATGTGGGTTGCATAAAAAACATGAATTATACAAATGGAGATTTATTGTTTTAAAATATTCATTTCGAGGTGAATCCACATACGTCATAAAATTTGTCAATTTTTTATATTGTTTTGACTGAATAATGAGTTTTTATAGCTTATTTTTCCGGTAAGTTAAATGCAAAGTAAAATTTGAGTCCTCCAGAAGTCCAAATGACAATTGTCTCTATGTTAGCAAAATCCAAAGTCCAAATTACAATTGTCCACTTAAAAAAAATTCATGCATACAGAAGAAAAATATGTGCTCTTGTTCTTAGCACCATAGTTTTCATTCTTGTGGCTCAACAAGCATGTTAATTATCCTAGAAGTTTTCCTTAACCCAAAGAGTTGAACTGTGACCATCTATGGACTTTATTGGTGTGATGCCATAGACGGGAAAGAGAAGGTTGCCAAACAGACCATCCAAGCCGTCGATGAAGAAAAGAAGTCAGTGACATTCAAGGTGATTGAAGGAGATCTCATGAAGCTGTACAAGTCCTTCATTATAACTGCTCATGTTGATACAAAGGGTAAAAGCAACTTGGTGACATGGACTTTGGATTATGAGAAGCTGAATGACAGGGTGGAAGACCCAAATACTTTGATGGACTCGATTCTTGCTGTCACCAAAGATATTGAAGCTCACCATCTCAAGTAATAGATATGAAGATAATATATATGGGTTATTATTCATATAAACCAAGCTCTTGTGTGATATAAGAATGTTATGGAGTGTTAAGGTTGCTGTTTTCTCCTTTGAATAAGATGTACCTGTCAAGAACACGTGTGCTTGCTGAAGATTGAATGAAAAAATAATGTCTTATGTATCGGGGGTTGCTTATGTATATTCTATGCATAATGGCCTGGTAAAATTTTCTTATTGGTCTCTCTCTCTCACACACACACACACACGCACACACCCAACATACAATATTAACACAATTTTTTACTTTTACTCTTATTTTACTGATTTGCTTATATCCTACTTTATCGTTATTTTTATGACAGCGTGATAAAAAAAAACCTAGAAAATGTATTGAAAAGCATATATCCACTCTTTGTAGAAATAGCCACAAATTGAGAAAGAAATTAAAAATAGCAAGAGAGAATAAAATTAGAAAATGTTGCTAAAGAGCTTCCGAGTTGGGCAGTTTGATGTCCAGACTTCTTGCGATGATCTTCCTCAATATTGGAAGAACAATGGACGGTTCACTTTCACTACCCCAAATGTCCAATGTTCAGTGGGCAAGCGCAGTAAAATTAATGGATTGTGTATTAAGAAATTTCAATGAATGACTAATTACCAGGATTGGGTGAATCACTCTTACTGGGATTAAATCTATGTGATTGACCAGGATTAGTGATTTTTAGTTATCCTGCCTATATACAAGTTGTAATCTTCTTGGGATTCTCATATTGTGCCTATATATGCTCTTGTAAATGTAGGTAAAAATTCAACCAAACCACGTTCATATTAATTGTTCATTTATTGTTTAATCGTTAACCACAATAAACACTGACAACACTACATATATAAGGAGATTTAAGCCCTTTGCAGATAGCAAAACCCAAAAATTGGTACAGTAGACATTCTTGTTTGTCTGGTTCCCTTAGGGTACAACAACCCAAAAACTTCATCGTATCGTTTTGACGAACTCTACACATGTGGCCGAACCTTTAACTCCACAAATGGGAGCACCTTTTATTGGCCTCAACCATCAAGTATATGTGTATATTGTGTGTTGCTAGTGAAGAGAAACAAAACAGAGATAATTGAACCTCTACCAAAAAAATAGTGAGGAGAAGTACTGTATTTCTTTTCTTGTATAAGTGATTAAATAATACATGATCCATACAAGAGGTATCAGATTACAAAAAAATCAACCAATAAAGGATACTTGATCCATTTTCATCCGTTGAAGTAGTCATCCAATCAGATGTTCCATGTTCATCCATTGGAATCACCTTCCAGTAATCATCTTTTAGTTTTTTCCCTTGGTAGGTCACTTCCTTGTGAACAGAGTTCATTTTGTGATCAGAATCTCCTTGAAATATGTAGCATCCTTATCTTTTAGTTTTTGCCCTTGTTGGAGATCCTACTTATATGGAAAGGAAAGATCCAACGTTCATATTGTATATAGGTCATACATTTTTTTTTTTAAAGCCACCCAGTGTGGGTGGGTGGTTTGGAGGTGAATGTGTCATCAGTACAATGAATTATTCATTGATATCAAACTCTATCAACACAATTGTTTTGCTAAAAGAAAGGGAGGCGGAAGGGGGAGAGAGCGAATTCTTTAGATAAAACTATACAATCATCCTTACATATGATTCAGATTTAGAGTATATGTTGATGATGCAATCAAATGTTGGTCACTCAAATCTTTATCATCTAATAGTGTTTAAAAAAATCTTACAATCTAGAGTTCAACTTAAGTTCAAAGATTTGGACACCAATCGTGCAAACAATGCCAGTGGCAAAAGCAATATTTGTCGGTTAAGTACACATTGGCCTCACGAAAACTCCTTTATTTTCTTCATAACCATTTAGATAAATCTCTCTCTTTGCGCGAGAGAGAGTGAGAGAGAGAATTATTTAATTAATCTAGTACAAAATTCAGCGCCAAAGTTGCATGAGTGATGCGGCCAAATTTCAACCACACAAGTCCTGCCATTCAATTTTGTTGAGTCAAATTTACCCTTTACAATTCGACTTACCCTCAAAAGAATCCGAGTTCCAAGTGTACATACAAGGTGTCTGCCAGATGAAATTTTAAACTATTCCAGCATGTAGTTCTCCCATGAAAAGCTCACTTATTTGCTTTATAATTGTTCATCTAAAGAGGGGGAAGGGGAGGGGTAGAGAGAGAGAGAGAGATAATTATTTAAATAAACTATAATTTTCTAACCCTTATTGTATAAAATTCAGATTTAGGGTTTGTGGTGACATTGGGCTCAAATCCTAGCCATTCAGATCCTATCTTATGATAGTGTGGATGAGCAGAATTAAGCAAAATTTTAACTATCAAAATTTAGCTTAGCTTAAAATATTCATAGTCCAGTCGTGCATACAAGTTCAATGGCAGAACCAATTATGTATTGGTTAGCGTGAATTGGGCCAACCACAACTCCATTATTGACTTCAAGATTTTTTAAGATAAATTTGCGTGTTCGTGTGTGTGTGTGTGTGTGTGGGGGGGGGGGGGGGGGGGGGGGGGGGGGGGGGGGGGGGGGGGGGGTTTTGGA